GGGGGTCGAAAGTGCGTTGTTTTCGCGTATATATGTGGTAAAGGGTTAACAAAAAATGATGAAAAACTTTGGAATCACCTAAAAACTAGTTTTTCCATGTTAACATGTGGTCTTTCACCTAATTTTGGTGAAAAATTGTTGTTTTGTAACATTTATATTTTTTTTAGTTAACCCTTTCCCCCATGAGCATAGTGTGAAAAATGGCCGTTTTCACTGAAAAGCCTCCTGTTACAAGTTCAAACTGCTATGAAACTATGAAAAATGCTTCAATACTAATCAAACTTGGCACAAATGTTGACTGGACCATTGCCTTTGTAACGACATGCTCAGTCTTAAATTTCCTGTTACCATGGCAACGAGGGGGCATCTCAAAATTGCCAAAAATCACTATTTTGCCTCGATTTTTTCCATCAAAATTTATTTCAAAGTGCTGCAACTTCTCAAGGGATTGAGATAGAGTCAAAGGCTTTTCAGCGTTGGTTAAACGTTACATTATGATCGACCTGGGGTCATTTTTAGCCTCTCACAAGTCCAAAATTTTCTTGGCGATGAGGGGGACTTCGCCCCCCTTCAAACCCCCCTAACAGAAGGGGGCACAAAAGGGGGATTACAAAATAGATAACGATGACAAAAACCCGGGACTATTCTGCCCCCAAGACTTATTGGTGTATTTGGTGTATTTCTTTTATAATGTTCTGAATAGACATAGCTTACTATAAATACTTAATGAAAACGAGTCCTTTACTTACAATTTGTCAATATAGGAAATGATTTTTGTAGTTATAAAGTGATATTTTGAAATTATATACAGGAATGGCGGCAATCTTGGAATTTCCCGTCCAATGCTTATTATCCCCCGCCGATGGAATCGGGAGGGGGATATTGTTTTGGCGTTGTCCGTCCGTCCATCCGTCCGTCCGAATTTCGTTTCCGCACTAGTTCTCTGCAACAACTGGTTGGAATCCAACGAAACTTCATGGGAATCATAAATATCAAGAGGAGATGCGCATGTCGTCAGCTTGTTCCGGTCAGACCCTTTAACTCAGAGTTATGGCCCTTGATTAGTCATGCAGTATGCATAAAGAGCAAAAATCGTTTCCGCGCTACTTCTCTGCAACAACGGGATGGAATTCAATGAAACTTTATAGGAATCATCAATATCAAGAGGATATGCGCATATTGCCGGCTTGTTCCGGTCAGACACTTTAACTCAGAGTTATGGCCCTTGATAAGTTATGCAGTATGCATATAAAGCAATTAACGTTTCCACGCTACCTCTCTGCAACAACTGGTTGAAATTTAATGAAACTTTATGGGAACCTTCAATTCCAAGAAGAGATGTGCATATCGTCGCCTTGTTCCGGTCAGACTCTTAAACTCAGAGTTTTGGCCCTTGATTTGTTATGCAGTATGCATATAGAACAATAATCCTTTCCGAGCTACTTCTATGTAACTACTGGCTGGAAATCAACAAAACTTCATGGGGATCATCAATATCAAGATGAGATGTGCATTTCGTCGGCTTGTTCCAGTCAGACACTCAAACTCAGAGTTTCCGAGTTTCAGAGTTTTACTCAAATCGTTTCCGTGCTACTTCTCTGCCACTACTGGCTGGAATTCAAGGAAACTTTATGGGAACCTTCAATATCAAGAGGAGATGCGCATATCTACGCCTCTTTCCGGTCAGATACTTTAACTCTGAGCTATTTCCCTTGGTTAGTTATGCAGTATGCATATAGAACAAAATTCATTTCAACGCTACTTCTATGCAACAACTGGCTGGAATTCAATGAAACTTTATGGGAACCTTCAATACCATTAGGAGATGCACATACCGTCGCCTTGTTCCGGTCAGACACTTTAACTTAGAGTTATGGCCCTTGATTTGTTATGCAGTATGCATATAGAACAATAATCGTTTCCGCGCTACTTCTCAGCAACTTCTGGCTGGAATTCAACATAACTTTATGGGAACTATCAATATCAAGAGGATATGCGCATATTGTCGGCTTGTTCCAGTCAGACACTTTAACGCAGAGGTATGGCCCTTGATTAGTTATGCAGTGTGCATATAAAGCAATAATTGTTTCCACGCTTCTTCTCTGCAACTACTGGCTGGAATTCAATTAAACTTATGGGAACCATTAAAACCAAGCAGAAAATGCTTATTGTTGCCTTGTTCAGACCAGATCCTTCATTACAGTGTTATGGCCCTTAATTAGATATGTAGTATGCATATAGAGCAATATTGCTATTTCTTTGCAACTGCTGTATTAATTTCAACAAAACTTTATGGCAACCATGGATACAAAAAGGCAATTTTCATCTTTTTGGCATGTCCAGATATTATTATTTAACACAGAGTTATTGCTCTGTTATTGCCCTGAATATCTATCATGTACAAAGAATATTACTGTTTATACCATGATAAATATATAAATAAAGCCGTGTGTCTTCAGCTGTTGTGCAAGTAATAACCAGTACTCGGCGGGGGATATAAATTCAACGAATTTGCTTGTTTTATCTTCTTTTGCAAAAGAAGGTTTATTTAAACTGTTTTTTGATTTGCTCTTTTACATTACCTTAAGTATTGTCTCAAAAATTTACTGTACTTAAAATGAAGTACGAACTTACTTATACTGAGATAGTCTAAAGTCAACAACTGTAATAAGCTTATGCTTCATAGCATAGGTAGTAAAAGATCAAACAATTTGTTTAGATAAATAAATAAATTTATTAATTTAATTAAGTCAATCGAGATAACCCGAAGTAAAAATTTAGACAAATTATTACAAGATAAGCTAAATCTGTGTTGCAACGAAATGCTACGTTTACACTTTGCTTGTGATCGGTTAAGGTCGTTGACTTCAAGTCACTTGTCTCTCACTTGTCTCTCACCGCTGTAGGTTCGAATATTTTTTTATTTTAATGACATGTAATTTCTTCCAAAATGACATGTTTTCTAGTAAATAGATCAGTAGATTCAAACGTTTGAATACATTTAGATGTTAAATGATAATCAAGTGCCATGGCTTTTTCATCGATGCGTTTGTTTAATGCAAAACTATGCCTCTTAAGTTTTTGACAAAGCGTTTACTGTCGTATATTTAATTGTTGCCTCTATCCAAGATATTAAGTGATCAGACGGTTAAACTTTCATCTTTTATAACGATATCAAAAAGTGTAAATAAAAATGTTTTGCAACAAAGCAAGAAACTCAAAATAAGTCCGAAGTGCTAAGCTGATTCTTGTAAATGTTTTATGTGCTTGTAATTTCTTTAAAGACTCGCAAAATAATTTGTACAATTCCGAATTAAATCGTCTTATTCAAAATCATTTAATCTTAAAAGTATATTCAAATATGAATTGTAAACACATATTGAGAGGAAAACAGCAGATCTCTAATTGAAGAGATATTATTGTTCGTTAGGCTCAGAAAAAGCCTAGAGCTCAACCGAGAGTTTTTATGCATTTATGCCTTGTTACCAAATCAGTTTAAAGCAAATTCACTGGTAACTTCCTCTTACAGGAGATACCAGCAAGTATAATAATACGGATTAATTGTATTTAGGTAGGTAGGTAGGTAGTTGGTTGTTAGGTAGGTAGGTAGGTAGGTAAGTATATCTGTTTTTTCTAGTCATTTTTATCATTGATACTTATTCTTTAAGTGGTGATTTTATACTGTTCAACGCGAAACTCAGGGGTGAAAGGAGATATGTTTAGCTTTTATTGTTTCCCACGAACAGACTCTAGTCTGAAATTATCATTATCTCTTTCTTTCTTTTGGGAAGTCAGGTTAATTCTCATGAAATAACACATTTAGTAAATTAATGAATCAGTTTTTTTTTCAGACAATGATCACGAATCAAGTTTATTATGGTATTGTTATCGCTGTACTCTCAAGCCAAGCTTTTGCTAACAATATCTGTAACAACACTTACACTAACGGAATAGGAATACAGGTAAGATAAGATATCAATCACATTACATAAAGAAGTTTTATTTTATAGACTGTTTAATTAATTATATTTGTTACGGTGTCTGCCATCTTATACATGAGTCAACTGGTTTGAGCCTTTCTTGCGACTGGACCTTTATTACCCGCGTAACATATGAATAAGTTTGTCAAGAAAGTGAGCGAGGTAAGATTGAGTGATAAGATCATATTCAAGTTACAGCTTAGATAAAATAAATTCGATTAACCGTCAGTAAATATACTTTTATCGTCCGACACAGTGCTACTACAGTAACACGGAAAACTTTTTGAACGATTCAAGTGTAAATCTGCAATATTTTGAAGATTAGTATTTCTCATTTCTTGCCTTAATTAAAAACATACATCCATTTTGCTTCGATATTTTAGTGTTTTCCTTGTGAACCTGGTTACATAGCAATAGGCGACTGTCCTGGGAATATTACGCGTGCTAAATGTGAGGAGTGCAAGGATGGGACATATCAACCAGAATGTGATACTTTCAACGAAACTGTTAGTTGTAGAAACTGTACATTTTGTGATGTCTATAAAGAAAACTGTACAATATACAAAGACGCTGTTTGTGAGCTGAAAAATGATACACATGATAGTAGTGGTAATATATTTCATATTTTTAAAGCTTTGTCTGCTAAGTTGTATTATGTCGAAACTACGGAAAAAAGCAAAATCTTATTGTATTAAGTAAAATTATTAAACCTATATATCGTTTGTAACTATTGATAACCAACATAAGAAAGCAAAAGTTTTAAATTATTGCCTAAAAGAGGCGTTATATTCAGATACTAACAATAGACGGGGTTTTTTTCCAGAAAAGACGCTCTGTAAAGAGTCAAACGGTGTTTTGTTTAGTAAAAGTATTTAGCCAATCGTTTTTACATAATTCAGGTACGCTGAATCCATTTTTGCTCTATCAGGATTGTACATTCTAAAGTTCAAATCAAAATGGCCGCCATTGATCTTCACCATTTACTTTATAATTTCTTATTTGTGGTTCATAGCGTATTGTTTGCCAATTAAAACTTATGGAATTCAGTTTCAGATACTTTTGGGAACGATTGGCTAATAATTAAACATGAATTGCACTTTGACTACCATGGCAGTCATCTTTGATTTCAAAATGGACACCCTTTTGAAACAAATACAAGTAGAGTGCTTTTAAACAAAAGGATCTTTTTGTAAGAATGAATATCAAAAATACAATAATGATATAAGCATCATGTCATGTAGAATTGTACACAATGTGAAGTATACTACATACTTTAATTATGAATTTCTCCATGACTTCAAACTATTACAGGTCATTGTTTATTGAGATATCTGATATCCCAAATGTCTTAACATATAACATGCACACAATCATAATTTACAATAAGATGTTTAAGTTGTAATTTTGATAAAATAGCATATGTGTAAACATTATGGACACTAAATCATTTTATAATTTGATGGTCAAAAGTCAAGGTCAGTATGCCAACATTTTAAAAATTGCCTTTCATCTTCACAGACAGACAAGCGACCATGCCTTTTTCTTACTATGAATGAATAATACAGAGTAAAATATTATAGGTTTTTAGCGGGTATTCATGCCTAGAAGACTAGTTCTATTACTTTTATTGAAATTGATAGGGTATCTTATTCCATTATGATATAGCCTATTTCTTGATGTCATTTGCCACAATATATTTATCTCATCCCATATTTTACAAATATCAATCAATAAAACACTTTGGCATTTCTTAGTGTAAAAATAGTGACTAAAATGGTACCAACTATTTATGCATTATCCCGACAATAATGTAACACCTGAATAAACAAGGGCTTGCCACTTGAAAATGTCCCCTAAGGGCATTCCCATAAAAACAATGAAGGCATGGTAACTGTTATAATCGTACAAGTCTTACAATAATTTAGAAACATAAGGAAACATTTATTTGTAATTTCAGTGTGTCTTATTACTTTAAAAAGCATCTGTGAATGAATGGCAATGATATAGACACAACCACCAATGTTCTCATTTTACCTATCTAACTGGCAGTCTAATGTTTAAGCATTAGAGTGGTCGTTATCTGCTACTTATGCTTAAATCCTTCCAATGAATGACAGTTATGGACGGAACTATATAGACAGACAGACATGTTGTAAATGAGTTGACATGTGCAGATATCTGTGACCCGCAATACTTTTTTAAACTCCAAAAGCAGTATCTTTGCTACCAATAGTCAATGATTAATTCTAAACGTCGGGCGTATTCAGAATTTATTTAAATGCCAACTTAGAACCCATCAGATACACCTAACTGGCACATGAGGACACTCGGACACTGACATTTCAGCAGGCTTCCATTTAGGGCGATAAAAGCCTAGTAGAAAACCTTCTTGCGCTTGTTAACGCTAAATTTTACAGTATTTATAGAAACAAAGGAAATTTTCAGTCATTTTGAAATCCACGATGGCTGCCGCATTGAGTTTATTCCATTGATTCTTTTCGTTCACACTTTAGCCGAGTAAAATAAGCAAAACTTTGAATTAAAATTTCAATAACATATGTTTAAACAAGCCCATGGGAGAATTAAGGTAAAAATTAAAAAACAATGGCTGCGATTTAGAATATGATTTTTAAGGTCAAGTAAGTAAGCACAACTTCCTGCTTGTACTAAAGAATGCCGTTAAAATGCATATTTTTCTCAAACCAGTATACAATTAGTCAAGTTCAATTTAAATATGTTCTTTGAAAAATAAATGACTTTGCTAGAGAAAGTGTATATTTCATTAGAGATCGAAATGTCAAATTGTTGAGATTATTACATGTTTGCTTTCGATAAATTATCTACAATTTTGTTATGTCTTCGGAGCAAAGTCACACCATATAGTGCACATTTATAGAACATATTCTCATATTTGTAATTTATATCAACTGTTCAAATATTATGAATTTATTGTCGTAAGTAAAATGAGTGGTAATGTTTCTTAACATGCATAAGATAAATTTCAGTAATAATAATTGAAGAACGTAACAGTACTGTATGTTTTCTATTTAATAGATGACAGCGGTGACCGAGTAACCCATATCGTGCTCTGGATAACAGGAATTGTGGTTACCGTTTTCTGTCCAATACTGGTACTTTCCGTCATAAGGTAATTGAATTATTCAATCATTTGTAAATTGAGCTATTAAAGAAAAGCCGTTTGGAGTAAAGTTTATTGTATTATAAAAGCGTACAATATGCCATAATTTTCATAGACCTTATTAAAAAAGGGAATTTATAAATGCAAGTATCATTACTATAGTAATAATCATTGGTATTGTTATTAATGTCATCATCATCTGCACTATAGTTGTTATTGTCATTACTTTAATTATAATAACTGTCATTAAATTTAATACATATCTATATATGATAACTAAAACAATGGATATTATATTCTCAGATACCGGAAACTTGGTTACTATGGTAACAAAAACCAAGGTAATGGTTATGCTTATGATAAAGAAATGGTTATAAGTAAAATATTCTTGAATTATCCTAAAAGTAAAACAATAGCAGGTAAAAACGAAATTTATATTATTAAAAAATGATTGCATTCTGTACATACAATTTAATGATTATTTATACACAATACACGGATAATATTAAAAAATCAATGCACGTTTTGTTCGTGCATTTACATGCGCAGAAGCGAAAGGACGCATGTAAAGCCCGGGGCCACTCGGTGAATGATTTAATTAAGTCCGATGCTTTCTGCAGATTTTGATATACGAAAAAGAATACACTGGCGCTATTATTTATCAAATGTATTCGTCCGATCTGATAATTTCGTGTTTTGTGACGTGCTTTCGTAAAGACAAACCAGTTTTTAATGCCTTTAAAGCGCGAGTGAATAGTAGATGTTCAGTTTTGTTTTAATAATAACATTGCGTAGTGTGTAATATGTAGTGACGAGGAATTATTTTTGGAGGTAAAGTCGTTTTATGTTTATACATTGATTGCAGAAAGTCATCGTCAAAAACGTTATAACCAGAAAACAAAACGTTGTAGTGGAGATGTTGTGCATAAAACAAACATAAAAGAGTTTAAAGGTAGTAGCATTAATAATTCTTATACATGTGTTATGTAGCAACATTTTGAATTGTAGACAATAAAGTAAAAAAAATAAGTTTAACGATAATTATGATATGTGAGATAAATGTCCTTAATTAGTTAAATTGAAATTCACTTCAAAGCAAATAAATTTTGTTTATTACGACAATCACGCTCGCAAACTACATGAGCTTTTACATGTTAGATAAAGATAAATGCCATACAGCTAACATCCTTTAATGTTATGAAAGAAGTTTTTTCAATTATTATAGTCAAATTTAATCTAGAAAAAGTAATTCTTTTGAAGTTTTAGAATTTGTACAGATGTATCTTTCAAAATCTTCTTGTTTTTTGATGTTTGTAACATGACGATAAATAATATGAACATGCATGAAACAATGAAATTGCGTTGAGAAAGAAATTTATTTTTACTAATTCTTGATAAATAAACTAAATTTTAGTTAATGTAGCCTTTTATTATAGATAAACCCAGTAAACATAACCTTGATTGCATTGATTTAGCACCGAAATCCAACAAAAAAGAAAAGCACATTAATGTGGTCCGTCCACATATTGAACCAAAGAGCAATGGTATGTCAAACTCTTTAGCTTTACTGATGTTTATTTAGCTGTATGGATCATCTTTTAAATAATACTATTATTGTATAGAATCACAGAAATTAGTTATTAAAATCATATAAGACTTGAAGAAGTCTGAAATATGTCCATAAAACAGTCTATTCGATTTAAAAAATAAAATGAATTAAAAGACAAAACCTAATTAGACCTATTTAGATCAATATTGAATTGTAAACATTCACTGATCATAATAAAGACGAAACTCCAACAATTGAACATTGAAAGAAATCAATATAAGTGCTATGCTTGTTTCCAATCCATATGTATCGTGATATAAAAATACAGGCTTGTAAATTTGCTAAATTAAACTTAAACAGTCTCTTTCATAACCAAGTCATAGTCAAGTCAAATAATTTAATGGCAAAGATATATACATATTCATTGCCAGGTAACATTTTGGCGATACAATACAAAGTACACAAAAGTAAGAAACGTACATTATAAATTAATCATTATAGATTATACATACTGTATGTGTCAACGTACATGAATTCAAACAAATGTATTAAGTAGATTCAATTCTTAATTGCATTGCTGAATAAACAAATTTTGCTAAGTTAACAATTACATTTTTATTCCTACATTTCTTTATTGATATTTATTACATGCTTTTCGGTGGTTTATAGAAATATATCAGTGAATATATAAAATTGGTAATTTCACTGTTTGAAACAGTGAAATTACCACTTTGATAATTTCACTGTTTTGAATTTAAGCCCCTTACGTTGTTTCAGTGAAATACCAGCGTGCACAGTACTGGGTACCAACTAAATGACGTCGTAAATGACGTCACGTTGTATTATTATTTGGCGCGCTTTTCATTCAGTATTAGGTTTAATGTCTTTTTAAAACGTTTCTTTGCATGTAATAAAAAGAAAATTTGTTTAGTTTAGTGTAAGATCGAAATATATTTCACCTTGTGAACACCAAAAGTTCACATTTCACTCGTGGCTGCGCCACTCGTGAAATATACTTTTGGTGCTCACTCGGTGAAATACATTCCGATCTTACACTGAACTAAACAAATATCCTCTATTTATTTTAAACTTTTCAGTGGATTACTGATTTATCCGTGAAAATTATATTTGATAATTTCACAGTGAAAATTATCAAAATATAATTTCACACTTTTTAATGACGAAACTACTATCTTAAGATTTTCCCAATGTGGTACCTAAATTTTATTTTTGCTGACTATTCTGACAATGTCAAGCTGTTCAAAGAAAAACAAAGCTGAAATTGATAAATAACTTAATTGTCAAAATAATAAAAAGAAGAAAACTTACTTCTATTCATTCAAATAACCAATCACCAAATATCGTCTCTCATTTTTTGTTTCATTTTTACTGTCTGAAAAATACATTCCTTTTACATTCAAAAATGCTCTTGATGACATTTGGGCACATTTAAGTATCCTACGAGCAATAACTGCCGTGTGCTTTATGAAAATTTTATAAGCAATGACAGCCATCCGCCCGAAGAATAAGGTAACAACCCATCGTTCTTTAGACAGCCTTTCAACTTTTCAAGTTTTCAAATTCCCTAGCTGCTTTTTGAATGTTTACACTTCTATCAACACTTATTATGCCCCCATTTCGAAGAAAAGGGGGTATATTGCTTTGCACTTGTCGGTCCGTCGGTCCGTCGGTCTGTCGGTCCGTCGGTCCGTCGGTCCGTAGACCAAATGGTTTCCGAGTGATAACTAAAGAACCCTTAGGCCTAGGAACTTCAAACTTGGTATGGTGATTGTCATGTCCAGTAGATGACCCCTATTGATTTTGGGGTCAAGGGTCAAAGGTCAAGGTCACATTGACCTTGTAGGCAAAAACGGTTTCCGATCAATAACTAAAGAACCTTAAGGCCTAGGAACTTCAAACTTGGTATGGTGATTGTTCATGATCAGTAGATGACCCCTATTGATTTTGGGGTCAAGGGGTCAAAGGTCAAGGTCACATTGACCTTGTAAGGAAAAACAGTTTCCGATCAATAACTAAAGAACCTTAAGGCCTAGGAACTTCAAACTTGGTATGGTGATTGGTTATGATCAGTAGATGACCCCTATTGATTTTGGGGTCAAGGGGTCAAAGGTCAAGGTCACATTGACCTTGTAAGGAAAAATGGTTTCCGATCAATAACTAAAGAACTTTAAGGCCTAGGAACTTCAAACTTGGCATGGTGATTGGTCATGATCAGTAGATGACCCTATTGATTTTGGGGTCAAGGGGTCAAAGGTCAAGGTCACATTGACCTTGTAAGCAAAAAACGGTTTCGCGATCAATAACTAAAGAACTTTTAGGCCTAGGAAACTTTCAAACTTGGTATGGTGATTGGTTATGACCAGCAGATGACCCCTATTGATTTTGGGGTTAAGTGGTCAAAGGTCAAGGTCACATTGACCTCTTGGGTAAAAACGGTTTCCGATCAATAACAAAAGAACCCTTAGGCCTAGGGACTTCAAACTTGATATGATGATTGGTCATGATCATTTAGATGACCCCTATTGATTTTGGGTTCAAGGGGTCAAAGGTCAAGGTCACATTGACCTCATAGGTAAAAACGGTTTCCGATCAATAACTAAAGAACCCTTAGGCCTAGGAACTTCAAACTTGGTATGGTGATTGGTCATGACCAGCAGATGACCCCTATTGATATTGGGGTTAAGGGGTCAAAGGGCAAGGTCACATTGACCTTGTAGGTAAAAATGCTTTCCAATCAATAACTTAAGAACCCTTAGGTCTAGGAACTTCAAACTTGGTATGGTGATTGGTCATGACCAGCAGATGACCTTTTGATTTTTGGGGTCAAGGGGTCAAAGGTCAAGGTCACATTGACCTTGTAGGTAAAAACGGTTTCCGATCAATTAACTAAAAACTTAGGCCTAGGAACTTCAAACTTTGTATGATGATTAGTCGTGACCAGCAGATGACCCCTATTGAGTTTTGGGTCAAGGGGTCAAAGGTCAAGGTCACATTGACCTTGTAAGTAAAAACGGTTTCTGATCAATAACTTAAGAACGCTTAGGCCTAGGAACTTCAAACTTGGCATGGCGATTTGTCATGACCAGCAGATTACCCCTTATGATTTTGGGATCAAGGGGTCAAAGGTCAAGGTCTCATTGACATTGTAAGTAAAACGGTTTCTGATCAATAACTAAAGAACGCTTCGGCCTAGGAACTTCAAACTTGGCATGGTGATTGGTCATGAGCAGCTGATGCCCCTCATTGATTTTGGGGTCAAAGGTCAAGGTCACATTGACCTTGTATGTTAAAACGGTTTCGATCAATAACTAAAGAACCCTTAGGCCTAGGAACTTCAAACTTGGTATGGTGATTGGTCATGACCAGCAGATGACCTATTGATTTTGGGGTCAAGTGGGCAAACGTCAAGGTCACATTGACCTTGAAGGTAAAAACGGTTTCTGATCAATTAACTAAAAACGCTTAGGCCTAGGAACTTCAAACTTTGTATGATGATTGGTCGTGACCAGTAGATGACCCCTATTGAGTTTTGGGTCAAGGGGTCAAAGGTTAAGGTCATGACCAGTAGATACTTGATAATCCTTTTTAATTGTTTGATCACTGGGTCAGAAGTCATGCATAATAACCTTATCACATGACTAATTGGCTGCTGATAGGGGGCATACATGTTTTACAAACATATCTTGTTTATTGTCTGTTACAATCCTCAAATAAGCTTTCTTTCTTTGAAAAAGGTATATAACTAACACATCCAAATGATATCCTTCTGAATCAAACACAATTATTTTCCTCCCGTGAAATACACAACTTTTGAAAATGGCGGCCTCCTACATTTGACAAAGCCAGGTCTTATACAAATTCATAATAAGTAACAGAAATATGGATGGATGTTTGGACTTTTACTCCTACTAGAAATGTTTGTTTTCATTATTAAAACAAGCGATCATTCATATTTTTTTTTTAATAAAATGAATGCTATCACTGCCAATTAACGTTGATTGTCGAACTTATTTTTCATCCAATGACTTCTTGTGTTTAATGAGAAATTCGACTAAATGAGGCTCTCAATGGGGAAAACAGATTTTAATATTAACGTTTATATACAGGAAATTTCGTTTTAACTTGTTGTGGCTAATCCAACTTCCATTCTTTCATGTTGTGATTGTTGTTGTTGTTGTTTAGCAAACTAGTCGATTGACCGTGGTCATAAATAAGAACAAGGTCCATTTATTCATATGTCTTTATTATGATGAACAATGACCACGGTCAATCTGAAATGAACATAAAACATATTAAAGATAAATGACTAAGCTAATGTTAATTGAACAATTGTATAAGTAAATGTTTATAATCCTCTACCACTTGTTAGAATACTGTTTTTAAAGCTCACGAGATGAAATAAAATTTCATTTTGCACACAAACAAACAAATATCCTTTAAATAATCATTTAAAAAACAACAAAACATTGACAATCTCATTTCATGTTTGTCACAAAAAAAAACCGCCGGATTTTATTTCTAAATAACAGAAAATCACACAGAAAAACAAGAACATTACCATTTAAGTTGGGTTATTTAAGTGTGTATGGGGTTTATAGAATATTAAATTTGATTTAATTACTAGCTTTTATCCTGGCATTAATTAAAGAAAATTTAAAAGACATATTCACTCTAAAATTCCACTGTTTTACCCTGTAGCAAAAATTAATCTGAATTTTTGTTTTTGTATGTTTTGTATTGTCTTAAAATGGAATTAATGTATGCATAAATCAAATTTTTCATGTTATAATCATAATTAAACGATCGGTATTTACGCATTTGACTTTCAATAAGCTAACATTATACGCGGTCTGTATAGTACAAAACCCCATTTACGGCACATCCGGTAAGGTAAGTAACTCTTCCCCGACGTTTGTTGCTTAAATGAATATTTTTGGTCGAGTTATGGTAATCATAAGGCGACACATGTGATCA